TGTTTGTTTTCAGATCTGTGTCTTTGGTCTAAGAACATGCTTGGGTTCAAAGAACATCTTGTAGCAGGCCTATAGGAATGCGGGGACGGTGGGTCCCTGTTCACAGACTGCGAAGGATGGAGGATGAGGTTGAGGAGCATTGGACGAGTCAGGAGGCAAGAGGGGAGGAGGAGGAGGGCACTGAGAGGATCAGAAAGAGGAGGTTTGGGATTGGGAGGAGGAGGAGGAGGAGGAGGAGGAGGGTAGGGACAGGAATACTTTGCGCTCCATTCGCACGAAATCCTCAAGCGTTCAGCCGAGTGGCCAGTACATCGCGCCTACTGCTCACAGTACCTGTAAACGTGGTAAGACCTCGGATGTGGGACATACAACATATTGACGTGTTGTGACCACCCTTTAACCGCTGACCATATCGGAGCTCAATGTCTTCATCCGCTCGCTCTGCGCTCGCTCTGCCCGCCCATGCGACCATGGTGCCTGATCTGCCTGGGCTCGGTTGCACAACTGTTCTCAAGGTCTCTGATCCCTTGTATTGTTTATGCTGTTTGATCGTTTTTCTTTCTCGACCTTTATATACATATATATATATATAAATACACATACATATATATGTGTATATATAGATGCATGTGTTTTCATATACATATCGGCATCACTCTCTCTCTCACACGTTCTCTCTCTCTCTTTCTCTCAATATGTTCCTCTCTCTCTCTCTCCCTGCACTGGTTTGGTATGCGCACGTGCTTGTGGCGTGATGCCCCACGTCTTCGGGCACCCGCACACAAGGCCTGCCTGCTCTGGGCGTGCCCCCGCCCCCCCCGCTCGCCCCCTGCGCCTCCCCCCCCCGTCGCGCCTGCGTCTGTGCCTCCGCTCCTCTCGGGAGGCTCCCCTCTGCCGCTCGAGCGCTGCTTGCGGCGAGCGGCCGCGGGCCACAACGTGGCACGGGGCTGAACCCAAACGGGGCTTTCCGTTCTCGTTTTGTGCTCGTGCTCCCTCGTCTCGTCCCCGATCCGCCTTCTGACCGCAGAAGGACACCGACCCGAAAACGGCCCACGAAGTCGCCAGAACGCCGTTGAGGTCCGGCCCTGCCGTGGCACGACGCCCGCCTGCGAAAGGCTCGGCGTGGCAGCACGACCACGGACCCCTGTCGCTCGATCGTGGAAAGTTATGGACCGCCGGCACGCAGACCAGGGGGCCAAGATCACGCCGCAGCACGTTGACAGCACAAGCGTTTCTACACTGGTCGGATGCACCGCAGCGTTGTCCGCACAGCTCGCTGTCATTGGGCACTACGGGGCGACATGACATCCATAGCGCAGGTTGGCCAGCGTGATCCACTGGGCACACGCCGTTCATTCTGGCATCGCTTCTGAATTTCAAGCAGTGGCGAAGCGTCCCGGCTTGCCCATAGGCCCACGAAATAATTTTCTAAGACCTCTTTGTGGTTTGTGCGACATGTTATTAGAACATGCCTCGCTGAGACTGCCTTGTTGCAATCGTCGTTATTCTAAGAACCTTCCTTTGTTCTTAGAGTGTTACGTTGTTCTAAGAGCATGTCGTGGTAGGCCAATACTCAGGGATGCTGGGACGGTCGATCCCTGCTCAAACTTGGCAATGGTTTCTGTTAGTGCATGTGTGTCTGGTTCCCGTGAGAGACACCTGCCCAGTCGTGTGGAAGATGGATTACAACCGCCCAGTCGACATTCTCCAGGGTGCATCAGATTGCCCACTGCATGCTGAATGCCTACGCGCATCCCCAGTGATTATGACGCCCCCCCGCGCGAGAACGATCTGCGTATGTGACCCATTGTATTATCTCTGAGTGAGGCGATATCAGCGCTCGCGGCTCGAGAATGAGGAAGAAGGAGGAAACTAATGAACGTGACGACGACGGCGGCGGCGGCGGCGACGACGACAACGACGGGAGTAAGAAGGAGGACGACGCGGACGATGGCAAGGCTTTTCATGGTCTGGGGCCATGTCGAGGCCCCCCTCGTGAAGCCTAGTTGTGCCAAGCAAGCCTGTCGGGGGTCGTCGCCGGTGCCTCCATTCTTCCGAGTTGGGCAGGGCGGCTTCCTGGGGGAGGGGTGGTTGCCGGAGGGAGGAGGGGGCCGGCTCTCAGGCGATCGCAAGCATGGATTAAGGAGGCGTGGATTAGCGACGGGTCTAGTTTCCATGGGAAACACGGATTGCCGCCGACGAACGGGGCGGCACCGGCCGCATTTGGGGGAGGGCACTTTCGCCGATCCATGGATTTGGCGACCGCGCGCCAAATCCATGGATCGCTAATCCATGTTTGCGCGCCCCCGAAGGAGGGAGCTGGCTCACGAGCCGAAAACCTTGCAGGGCCTGCGGATATTTACAAGTATACATGTTCATGGCGCCCTTGTGGAGGCCTTCCGGGGGCTTCCAGGGGGGCTCTCGGGGTCCTGGCGGTGGTCTCGGCGGAGGGCTAGGAGTGTCGTTAGTGTTCCCCCTTTTGAGGCTCTCTTGAGGCCATTTTGGGGCCGTCTTGGGCTGTCTTTTGGACCTCTTTGGCCGTCTTGGAGCCCTGCTGGGCCGTCTAGGGACCCTCCTGGGGGCCTCTTGGGCCGTCCTGGAGCAGTGAGAGCCTTTTGGACCGTCCCGGAGCGTCGGGGGCCCGAAAAGGCAATAATATAACGTTGTTTCAGAACGTGTGAGAATCAATGATTTTGGCCTCTTGGGGGGGCTCGTGGAGCGCTCTTGAGTCCTGGGCCGTCTGGAGGTCATCGTGAGCGTCTTGAGGCGCTCTGGTTCCGTCTCGGGGCCCTCCTGGCCCGTCATGGGGCCCTTTTGAGGTTTTCTTGTCCCGTCTCGGGGCCATCCTCCCTCTCCGAGGGCCCCCGAATGGCGTTGGCGAGGTCGTGCCCTCCCCCCTCCCCCATTGAACGTGATGTTGGACCCCTGTGAGGGTAAGAACGGGGAGGGGGACAGCCAATTATCGCACACGCCTTGTCGCCCCTGGCAAGCGGGGGTCGACGGATTCTTCGTCATGGTCGCAGTGTCGCTGGCAAATTGCACAAAATCCTCATACCTGTTTTGGGTTTCTCTTCCTACTCTTTGTCCTTTTGCCCCCCTCGCTGCCCTCCCCGTCATGCACTCTGCCATTCTCGACATCCGCCGCCTAGTCGTCGCCATCATCCTTTTCTTCTTGTCCCCCCTGCGAGCCCAATTGACAAAATCGGCGCTTCCTGTTCTTGTCCGATCAGGTTCTTCGTCACGATCGTCCTATCGCTGGCACATTTCACAACAGCCGTATATCTGTCCTGGGCTTCTGCTCAGACTGTCCGTGGCCCACGGGGGAAGGAGAGGGGTGGGGGGAGGGGTGGGGGGATGGGGAGGGGGAGGGGAAGGGGTGTGTGGACAAGCTAGGTGCGCTCGCGTCATATCTGACATCCAACCCCTCCCTCCCATCCCTTACCATGGCGTAGATCCCCTCTCTACTCGCACAGTCGGATGTCGAGCAGGGCAATGATCCCGAAAGGGTACGCGATGCATTGTAGAGCACGGCATGGCATGGCGTAGAAGAGCACCGCAAAGCGTAGTACCAACCTAGCATTGCATTGCATGCCGTGGCATGGCACGGGAAATGACGCCAGCACTGCAGCGGGAGCACGAGTCGGAACGAGCGGAAGCGCGGAAATGAGGCCAGTGCTGCAGCGGGAGCACGATTCGGAACGAGCGGAAGCACGGAAATGAGGCCAGCGCTGCAGCGGGAGCACGATTCGGAACGAGCGGGGCCCGAACATGAGGCCGGCGCATTTTGGAAACAAATGCAGGCGAAAACCCAACTCCGGGGAATCCTGTGTGTAAAAAACAGTACGCGGGGGGGGGGGCTAACACTTTCAAGCCGTCATCAGGGGAAGAGGGAGAGTAGTATTCATATTTCGTAATTGTGGAGGGGGGAGGAGGGGGAGGGGAGGAGGGGGGGGAGGAGGGGGGAGGGGGGGGGGGGGAGGGGGGGGAGGGGGAGACAAGTTAGGTGCGCTCGCGTCTACATCTGACATCCTACCCCTCCCTCCCATCCCTTACCATGGCGCTGATTTTCTCTATCCGCGGACGCGTGTCGTAGCGGACCTGTGGCTCCGCGCGCGTGTGCGTAGTGGGTGGTGGTGCGCGTGCGTGCGTGCGTGTGTGCGTGGTTGTGGTTGTTGTGGTGGTGGTGTGTATGTGTGTGTGTGTGTGCGTGTGTGCGCGTGTGCTGTGGTGTGACGTGGTGTGGCGTCTTGGTGGTTTGGTGGTGGGCCAGGTGCGTACGTGCGTGATGGCGGTGGTGGTGGTGGCGGTGGTGGTGTGTGTGTGTCTGTGTGTGTGCGTGTGTGTGTGTGTGCGTGTGTATGTGTGTGTGCGTGCGTGCGTGTGTGTCTGTGTGTGCGCGCGTGTGATGTGGTGTGACGCGGTGTAGCGTGGTGGTGGTGGGTGGGGTAGTGCGGTGGTGGTGGCGGTGCGCGGTGGTGGTGCGCGTGCGTGCGTGCGTGCGTTGGTGGGTGGAAGTGGCGGTGGGTGTGCGTGCGGCGGGGCGGGGCGTGGTGCGGCGCGGTGGTGGCGGGCGGATGGGCGCGCGAGAAAGAGGCCCGCGCTGGGGCGAGAACGCCATCCTGAACGACGGAGGCAAAACACCGATCCGAAAATAAGGCCCACGCTGCAGCGGGAGCACGATTCTGAACGATTCGGGAGCAGAAATGAGGCCGGCGCCTCAGCGGTAGCAGCATTTTGAAAAGAAAAAGAAAAGAAAGGAACAAAAAAAAAAAAAACGCAGGCGAAAACCCGACTCCCGGGAATCCTGTGTGCAAAAAAACAGTACGCGGGGGGGGTCTACTACTCCCAGCACGCCATCAGGGGAAGAGGGAGAGTAGTATTCATATTGAGTAATTGTGGAGGGGGGGGAGGGGGCGGGGGAGAGGGGGAGGGGGGAGGGGGAGGGCATCATCACTTGCGCACGGAAACATGGGAGTCATGCCGCGAGCGCAGCCTTGCAGGCGATGATCATACCACTGGTCTTCGGGCTCCTGTCGCTTGACGTTCTGGCCATGGCGGTCCATCCCGCGTGCCTCCTCTGGGTATGTTTGTCGGAAACTGGAGCATGTGCACTACCAGTGGCGGGCCGTTTCTCAACCCCGGGACTTTTTGAGGGCCGGGGGCGCCGTCGGGGTGATGTGGTGTGTGCAGCTTCCCTAGTCTTCCGAGGGAGACAACGAAAAATGTATACACCAGGATCCCGCATACTCCAGGATCCGTTTTCCCGTGCGAGTTCCGGTGCGGGTCCGGAAGAAACGCTGGTGTATAAAAGTTTGGTTCAGCATTTCACACGTCCAGCATAGAAGCAAGTGTGTACAGACATTTGGCATTGAGTACGTCGTCGAGGAGCCCGACCCTCGCCGTCAGGGGCTGTCCAGGAAAGATGTTGCGCAGGAGTCCGGCAGACGAGCCGCACACCACATGTGCGAGGGAGCACCGCAAGAACGAGTTCGCAGCGCGAAGGCGAGTGAGAAGGCCGCAGTTGCCAGAGTCCTTCGCATGGGTGCCCTCCATTGCCCTGGAGCTTACCACATGATGCGTTCCTTCTGGACTGGCTAGCTGCTGCGGACAACCCAGGGCCACTCAGCCACGGGCCCACACACCCAGAGATGCTCCATGCGCATGCGCGTGTGGAACTTACGCATTCCCCTGCTTCCCACATCTTGCGCGCAGGACCTCCAATGAGATCAACCTAGAGTTGAGGCGCTGACGAGACTCCTCCTCGATCCAAGTGAACCGCAGGGGTATCAACTTGAGGGGGCTGAACATCGTCTCCCGCCTTCCTCGTGGGAGGTCCTGGGCCCGCCCTGAGTCAGGAGCCCGCCAGCTTCCACCAGTCAGGGAGCATTTCCACTCCTCCGACTCAGTTCGATTCCATTTCGATCGATTCCGATTCCGATTCGATCCGATGTTGGACTCTGAGTTGGATCTCGGTTTCTCAGTGGAGGCCTGGCTGGCCTGCCAATTGCCGCCGAGTGTCGCCGAGTCGACTTCTCCAGACTTGGCTGCCGTGCGCGGAGCGCCAAAAGTTTATGTGTGTGGCGCCTTTCCCTCTTCTGGACGATCCGACGGCTCGGTTCGATGCTGCCTCGAGCACCCCTGGCGGTGCGGCCTCGAGGCCACGGCGCTGTGGGGGGGTGCAGGGGGAGGGGTGCAGGGGGGAGAGGGGAGGGCTTCTTAGCAGCACCGCTGCCTCTTAGAAAGCGTTGGCCTTTATCTTACAGATGTGAGGCCAGGGCCTTCTAAGAAGCCTTCCCCCCTCTCCCTCCTCCTCCTCCTCCTCCTCCTCCTCCTCCTCCTCCTCCTCCTCCTCCTCCTCCTCCTCATCCTCATCCTCATCCTCATCCTCATCCTCATCCTCATCCTCCTCCTCCTCATCCTCCCCCTCCTTCTCCCCCTCTCTAAGGAGCCTTCCCCCCTCCACCCTGCCTCCCCGCGTCGCGCGCCGCCAGCCCGCGTGCCGGAGCTCTGCGGAGAGCCCGCCCGCCCCTGCGCGCGGCACCTTTGGGGGGCCGACGTTGGGACAAAAACCACGACGTCGGGGGCCTGGCTGTGGGCACGGCGGCCTCTGCGAACGGGCGCTGCGATCTGGCCCCCACAGGCAGGGTCGGAGCAGATGGGGTCGGAGGATCGCGCCGCATCGCCGATGCATCAGTGATGCGGCGCGATGTGGAGCCCGATGTTCTCCACACCGCCGACGTCGCCGACGCGTCGCCAACGTCGCCGATGCATCACCGATGCGTTGGCGATGCGACGCGGTCCTCCGACCCCATCTATTCGGACCCCATCTATCCGGCCTCTTGGCAATGGACCGGGCAGAAGCAGCGGAGGAGGAGGGCGCTCGCAGCGAAGGCCGCGAGTCGCACGGCAGCAGTGGCGGAGGCTGTGGCAGCCCGGGCGGGTCCTCGACGCAGGAGCGTCCCGCGAGGGTCGTCATGGGCCGGTACAGCATGCCCATGGGCAGCGAGGACTTCCTTGGCGAGGGCTCGTCCAGCATCTGTTGGAGGGCCACCGATCTGACCACTGGCAAGCACGTGGCGGTCAAGGCGTACAAGCGCGTTCCAGGCGGGCACGGCAGAGAGGGCGTCAGGCTGCAGAAGTTTGCGCGCCAGGTCCAGGTGCTGCAGGAGCTCCAGGAGCCCGTCGGGAGGCCCGCGGACTCGAGCCTCTGGAGCGATCAGCTCGAGGCCGTCAAGTCGCACAGGCTGTTTATGCAGCTGCTCGATTTCTCCAGGGACGCGTCGGGCAAGCCTGGGCCCGACGCCAATGACGGGGCCCTGTATGTGGTGACAGAGCTGGCCCAGTACAGCCTGAAGGACTACCTGCAGCTGCGACGCGAGCAGGGCAGGTGCCTGTCCAGGGATACTGTCAGGCACATCGCCAAGGCGATCATCTTGGTGATGGCGGGACTGCACGCGAAGGGGTTTGTCCATATCGATGTGAAGCCGGAGAACTTGATGATGTTCAAGGGCCGATTGAAGTTGATAGACGTGGACGGTTGCGTCAGGTCTGGGACCAAGCTATCCATCCAGGATTCGTCCATATCGTTCTCCCCTTGCTACTGCGCGCCAGAGTGGGCCAGATTCCTGATCGAGAACAGCGAATCTCACATGACCGCTGTGCCGTCTCTCGACGTGTGGAGCGTAGGCATGACGATCTGCGAGTTGGTAACTTTGGACGTCACCTTGAAGCCAACGTACACGAGTTTCTTACAGAATGGCCGGTCGCACCGGCACGCGGGTTTTCTCTTCATGGATTGGTTGAGCGGCATCAGGAATGCGCCGCTTCCGAAGAGCATGAAGGAGTTCGACCAGGATTGCCTTGACTTGCTTACCAGTTGGCTGCTGGTTCCCGACTGCACCAAGAGGAAGACACTCGCACAGTGTTTGGTCAGTCCCTTCATCATGGCCGCCGGCTCGGCGTGCACCGCTGGTTCCCCCGTGAGTTCTCCGTTGAGCAGTGCAAGCGTTGTGAGCGCACCGTCGCCCAGCGGAGGACAGGACACCACGTTCACTGGCGGCGACGCCGCCGCCATTGTTGCCAGGTCCGAGCGCATCGCGCTCGATGTACCAAGTAGGGCGCAGCGCAAGGAGGTACGCGACCATACCGCCCTGTACAAGGGCATACTTTGGAAGCTGAATCGAGGTGGCGACCCCGCCAAGAGCGAGCACTGGCTCAAGCGAGACATGTGGCTGACCAGCAGTGGGAGCCTGTGCTACCACAGTCTGAAGGAGGACAAGCGCCTGATCCTGATCGACGGTGACCAGCTCGCAAGCGGGGAGCTGGCGCTGTTCAGCGGAGGGGCCATCCAGCCCGCGATCGAGATCAAGGTTTAAGTCGGGCGTGTCTCTCTACAGGAGGAGTATTCAAAAATATGCCAATCATAGTCTGGGGACGATGTTTCGATTATTTTTGGCTTTTTTTGATGATTATTTGACTATGTTCGTCTTCCTTCCAAAATCCGCCTTCTAGGGGGACATGCCCGACCTAAGTCAAGGTGTCGGCGGACACGGATGATCGCGAGCACCAGGCTACTATCTTGGGGTGCGAGTCGCACCAGGATTACGCGGCCTGGACCCGCGCCCTCGAATCAGCGCGCCTGCTCGCGATGCAGACCTTCCACCTGGGCCCGAGCCTAGCCGTACAGCTCAAGGCGTTCCGCCTGGCAGTGAAGAACAGGCGCCTCAAGGTCAGCGAAGGGGCGCGCGACGAGTGCACGCCGGTCTTCAAGTCGAAGCTCTGGAAGCTCAAGGCCGACACGGACCGGGGACGGGGCGAAAATTGGTTCGAGCGCGAGATGTGGATATCGCAGAATGGCAGCCTCGTGTATTTCAGCGTGAAGGAGGAGCGGGAGCTCATCTACTACACCCCGAGTGACTTAGCCTCCGCGTCTTTCGTGGAGCTCGGCGACGGGGGTTCGTGCAAGCGCTGGGGGTTTCACGTGGCCCTCCCAGCCAAAGACGGCGTCGAGTTCACCCCGTCCGAGTTCGCGGCGGAGTCGAGGGAATTGAGGGCCCAGTGGATCGAGCAGCTCCGAGGCCTGTAGGAGCCGTACGCACCAGGCCACCGGCGAAGGCAGCGCTCGTGCGCGCCATGTTCAGAGCCTCCGTAGGAGCGCGGTTGTCGAGTGTCCAGCTACTTGCGGCAAACCCGCCGCCGTGCCAGCCCAGCAGCACAACAGGAAGGAGCTTGAGTGTTAGACCCTTTCTAGCCTGTGCGCTGTCTGAACTGGCGCAGTCCTTGGGGTGAGCGCTTAGGTTTCATATCATGGGATATCGGCGATCGGAGGTTGGGGGGTGAGTCCGACGTGAAACGAAGACTTCCCCTACCGGGAAATCGATTTCGGTTTCGGGTTCGTGTCGTGCGTGCCGTGCGTGCGTGCGTGCGGGCGGGCGGGCGATGCGAAGCTGCGTGGGCGGGCGAGAGGAAATTCTCCTGTGGCTGGGCCGCGGCTGGACCAAAAGTCCCTCCACCGGCAAACGGTGGCCCGCGGTGTCCTGCTGGTGTCCCGCTGGTGTCCTGAAATCCTCCTGTGGCTGGGCCGCGGCTGGATCAAAAGCCTCTCCACAGGCAAACGGTGGCCCGCGGTGTCCCGCTGGTGTCCCGCTGGTGTCCCGAAATCCTCCTGTGGCCAGGCCGCGGCCGGACCAAAAGTCTCTCCACCCGGCAAATAGTGCCCCGCGGTGTCCCGCTAGTGTCATGCTTGGGTCCCGCCGTGGCTGCGGCGAGCTATCCAAAGCAAGTCTACATGCAAACCGACATACAAACCGAAAAGCACATCGAAATGCAAATCGACATGCACATCCAAATGCAAATCGTAAGGTGCCGTGGGTTGCGCTCACGATCACAGTCACACTACTCACTAGACTGCGCACCACAGGCATCGTCAGAACAACAGTCACCACTGTTGCCCATTGCTGCCCCCCCAACCTCCTTGTCACCCGCAGGGTGGTCGTATAGGTAAGGTTAGGGTGATCGGGTGCTAGGGCTAAGGTTGCTGCGTAAAGTTCGGGTTTTCTGGTTAGGGTGCTAGGGTCAGGGTTTTGAGGGTTCGGGCGTCATTGGTCGTGTGAGGATTAGGGCGGATGCTTGCGATTAGGGTCGGAGGTGAGGGGGTTGAGATCGAACTGGAACGGAGAGCCCCCCTACCGGGAAATGGGTTTTTGGTTTCGTGTTCGTGCGTGCCGTGCGTGCGGGCGAGGCAAAGCTGCGTGGGCGGGCGTGAAAAAAGACTCCTCCGGCTGAGGCGCGGCCGGACCAAATGTTTCCTTTCCGGGGGCCGGTGGCCTGCGGTGTCCCGCCGGTGTCCCGCTGGTGTCCCGCCTCCAGCTGAGGCGCGGCCGGAACAAATGTTTCCTTTCCGGGGGCCCGTGGCCGGCGGTGTCCCGCCGGTGTCCCGCCTCCGGCTGAGGCGCGGCCGGACCAATGTTTCTTGTCCGGGGGCCGGTGTCCCGCTGGTGTCCCGCCTCCGGCTGAGGCGCGGCCGGACCAAATGTTTCCTTTCCGGGGGCAGGTGGCGCGCGGTGTCCCGCCCGTGTCCTGCCGGTGTCCCGTCGGTGTCCCGATGATGATGATGATGATGATGATGATGATGATGATGATGATGATGATGATGATGATGATGATGGTGATGGTGATGATGGTGATGGTGATGGTGATGGTGATGATGATGATGATGATGATGTCGATGATGGTGATGATGGTGATGATGGTGATGGTGGTGATGATGACGGACGGGGTTGTCCCGATGATGATGATGATGATGATGATGATGATGATGATGATGATGGTGTTGACGATGTTGATGATGATGATGATGGTGATGGTGATGATGATGGTGTCCCGATGATGATGTTTATGGTAATGATGTTGCTGAGTGATGATGGTCTTCCGATGGTGGTGATGATGTTGGTGATGTTGATGATCATGATGATGCTGATGATGAGAAGATGATGAGATGATGATGATGGTGATGATGATGGTGCCCCGATGATGATTATGATGAGGAGGTTGATGATGATGCTGTTGATGATCATGGTGATGATGATGGTGTCCCGATGATGATGATGATGATGATGATGATGATGATGATGATGTTGCTGATGATGGTGATGCTGATGACGATGATGGCGCCCCTATGTGGTGTTGATGATGCAGACGATGATGAGGTGATGATGATGATGATTTTGATGATGGTGGCCCGGTGGTGGTGATGATGATGTTAGTGATGATGGTGTCCCGATGATGTGGATGATGGTGATGATGATGATGGTGACGATGATGATGGTGTCCCGATAATGCTGATGTTGATGATGAGGTTGCTGATGATGATGACGGTGTCCTGATGATGATGCTGTTGTTCATGATGATGAGATGATGATGATGATGATGACGATGGTGGTGTTCTGATGATGACGATGATGGTGATGTTGATGATGATGATGATGGTCACGATGCTGGTGTCCCGATGATGATGATGGTGATGGTGATGATGCTGATGATGGTGGTGATGAGGTGATGATGATGACGATGGTGCCCCGATGGTG